TATTTAAACACTTTCTAAACAGGAAACGCTAACAAAAACATTTTCTGAGAATGGCCAAACCATTATTTTGTAGTCAAAGACCATCTCTGACCCATTGGCGGCAGCGTCAAGATGGTTTTGCCATTATGACCATGCCTATGTTGTTTCATATTTAATGATTAGGAATTTGTTGGCATGGCTGTTGCTGTTTGAATGTTGCCACTGTAACAATATTAGTGAAGGAGGGGAGGTGTTATGGAGGAACCATCAACCTGCTGGTAGTCACAGTCATGTTTAATCAGGAGATTTTGTATGTGTTTCATACTGAGTTTCAAACAGAAGTTGAGTGTAATTCTAGAAGATTTAAAATCAGATGTAGACGTTCTGTGTTGTGCAGTCTCATGAGGGGGAGGGAGGATAAGTGTTGTATTTGAGATTTGAATCCTTGATTATAATGGTTTGAAGTTGGGTTAAAACCTCTTAAACACTTATGACTGTGTTTTGGGACCTTTTCACAAACATTTAGTATCATCATTATTTGATACTGAATCTTAAACATGAAATGTCAGAACTATTTGGAATGGCCAACTCCACACCAATTGATCATCCTTCGACTGTCGTAACCTTCCCGACTTACGACAGTGTAAGATGGTATCATCGCTACTTGATACTGACTCGTAAACATGAATTGTCAGAATCATACAAATGAACTATGTGGAATCGGCCAAGTCATCACCAGTCAATTTTACTGTTACAACTATCGTAACTCTTGCCTAAACATACGACTTACGACAGTGTAAGTAAGACAATGATTGCGCAGCGAAATGGGCCAATGTCAGCACAAATTGATCCCCCTGCTATGACTGCCTCCCGTCTTACGACAGTGTAAGATGAAGGAGGATTTGTGGAATGGCCCCCATGTCAACAGTCTGTTCCACCACTTGGTGAAACATATATTCCACATATCATAAAAGAACACGACACATACAATCTTTATAGCCCAGTTACGTTATTCCTGAAAGGTACATTTAAATCAACGGTGGAAAAATCTTTGGTAAATACGCCTGTTTTATCTCAGAGTGCCCTAGTCAAGATAAGGCTAGAAGCATTTCGAGAACATTTCTCATGTAAGCAGTGACATCATTGGCTGAGGAACGGAATCAGTTGATCTGAACTATAATAGCCTGTTGTATGGAAAACAGTAGGGCAAATCCAACCATGTGTTTTGTAGATGCCGAGCCTATCTAAACACCAGCACTTTAACTTAATGTGTTTTGTCAGCATGGCATGGCAGATTGGCCAGTCCACTTGCAGGAATTGGGGACTGTACCAGGTCTCTGAAATTCCCAGCTTTCTAATTGCCGGCCAGCTGTATTTTTCTTCCCCTTCTCATGATTTCTCTCAAAACAAATCTCAACACAAGAGGTTAAATTTGAAATTTTGAAAAGTGTTATTTTGTATCGCCTGTCTGCCAAGTTAGAAGTGTTTGTTCTTCAAGTTGCTGCTCAAACTTCGGTTTCAATTCCTAGATCTGATCCTGCAAGGTGGCCCCAAAAAGACCTGCTTGAAATGGGTATTGTTTGCCTTTGAAATTCAATATGCTTGAATCTGGTATGCTTGTGAAGGCCTTTGGAAACAATACGGTTTCATTTGCATGCATCATTTGGGAAGCATCCGGCATTGCAAACCCATCATCAGAAATGCACTCTGTGATTCCGAGTATGTGGAAGAAAGGATATTTTTAGATGACTTGCATATTGCACATATAGCCGCCAAACAAAATCGTTTTATGCCCTGCTGGTTTAAGACCTCTTTTTGGAAATTGATGTTGATTTTGTCAAAAAAGTAAGTGTAACAATACGCTTAGGAATTAACAAATGATGAAAATGACATTGTATGCTGGTGAATTAGGACATTAAATTTCGTGTCTTTGTACGAGCAAAGCATATGGGTAGAAATCATGGCGGTTTGACAGATGAAATGTAAAGTCAATAATGCCTGTATAGTTTGTACAGTCTGTACTTGTCATTGAAAGCAGTAGGGGAATAGTTTAACGTTAGGTAACTGTTCCTGACAGGATGTGTTGGTATGGTAGAAATAGGATACACGACATAAACACACCACAATAAGCCTGTAGCTGCTTCTTGATGTTTGTTCTGCTTCAACTTTATCCATAAACACGGAGTAATTGGCCTTTGTTAAGAACAGGAATCGTCTCGCGACAAAACCATATGTTAATTCTTCCCCCAAAGAATGGCCGCTGTAGGCCTGTCAAGTCATTTGGGCTGGATTACAATTTTCTTTTTGTCTTAAAGAAAATAAACAAAATATATCATAAATTGAAGGCAAGATCATTATAGTGACAGGAAAACAGTATATGCTTTGTTTGGGTATCGGAAATAAACAAGCTCCAGTGGAGTAGTCTGTGAATTTGGCTCATAAATATGATCAATTACCCCTAAAATTGTAAAAAGTTTCTTTTCAACTGGTTTGGGCATTTCAATGGCGGGTTTGATCAGAGAGTAAGACATCTACATTGTGCACTCAAAATGTTTAAAGGATGTCTGTTCGTCTTAAACACAGTCCAATTAGACTTCTGAGATGGTGAAACAATCACCTTTGTTTATGTATTTTGTAAAAGTGCCATGGTAAAAAAGTCTGTGGAAAAAACTCCCGTGTGAATTTGTATAACAAGCAAGATGTGTGTTTGACACAAGAAACATGTTTTGTTTGGAGAGATAGGAACCTAAGTCCTTCAGTTAGGCAAATGACAGTGTCAACGATGTTGAAAAAGCAGGATGTATTTAAAGAAGAACATATGATATGATGATTGGATGAGGGAGTGTTGTTTCTAGCCAATCAGCTGCTGATCTGTCTGCTCGTGTTTCATCCCAGCTGTCACAAAACAACTTCATACACCGGAACTGTGTATACTGACTCACCAAAAACTGGAAAACTAACAGAAAAGAAAAAACACAAAATGGCAAAATACAAGCAGACAAACTAGAAGAAATCTTTGTTTTCAAACTGCAGTCCTTGTTTGAAATAATTAGTGCAAATTTATGGTTCGTCCTAAGCTTATGAAAATTTGAAGGGCTTAGTTTTTGCTCGTCTTTCAAAATAATAATAAGATGTTTATGTTCTGCTTGGAGTGCAAGCAGAATCATTTGTGGCATTAGCAGAAAGTGGATTCTGTTCTTGGGTTGGCTGAACCGTGGAAGATGCACGATGGCCGAGACCTTGGTTTTTGCCTTATCTGCTTGTGTATCTGTGAGTGTTTTGATAACTTGAGGTGTTTAGTGGTTATCTCACGGAACATGGTCCTTGTCGGTACTCGCTTAGACATCTTGTTCCACTGGAGAAATAAAGAAGACATTCTTGCTTAGCTAGTGATATTAGAGCTGTTGACATGTGGAACAGTAGAGAGTAACAACTAGTAATAGGAGGGTATGGTTGGAGCTGCTGCAGAAACCTGGATGTGTAGTATATGATGATGGAGTTACAACAGCAGCAGCAGTAGTAATGCAACAGCAGGAAGAGTAACAGAAAGAGCAATAGTTGCAACAGCAGGAATAGAAATAGTTGCAACAGCAGGAATAGTGACAGGAATGGAAATAGTGGCAACAGCAAGAATAGAAACAGTGGCAACAGCAGGAATAGTAATATGAATAGCAATTGTAGCAACAGCAGGAATAGTAATAGGAACAGCAATAGTGGCAACAGCAGGAATATAAATAGTTGCAACAGCAGGAATATTGACAGGAATGGAAATAGTGGCAACAGCAAAAATAGAAACAGTGGCAACTGCAGGAATAGTAATATGAATAGCAATTGTGGCAACAGCAGTAATTTAGACAGGAATAGCAATGGTGGCAACAGCAGGAATAGAAATAGTTGCAACAGCAGGAATATCAATAATGGCAACAGCAGGAATAGAAATAGTGGCAACAGCAGGAAGAAATAGTGGCAACAGCAGGAATGGAAATAGTGGCAACAGCAAAAATAGAAACAGTGGCAACTGCAGGAATAATAATATGAATAGCAATGGTGGCAACAGCAGGAATAGTGACAGGAATAGCAATGGTGGCAACAGCAAGAATAGAAATAGTGGCAACAGCAGGAATAGTGACAGGAATGGAAATAGTTGCAACTGCAGGAATAGTGACAAAAGCAGGAATGGCAGTAGCAACATTAACATCAATTGCAATAGTAGCTTTGGGACTGATACCAGTGGGGCTAGTTATTGTTGCTGTTGGTGAAATAGTTGCTGTTGATGTAGGGGATGTAGTGTTTTAATGTAGATGCCACACTGTATCTCCCTTGGCAGTGGCAACAATGTAGCAGTGTTGTAGCTGGCTGATACAGATTGATATCACATGTTCCCAAGACTTTATGAGGGCTCCTTATCAGACGCTTCCTCTTTCATATCCACCATCAAAGCAGTGTCTTGTAATGTTGGGTACTAATGACCCATCACTCAAAGGCGCACTCCTCACAAGGGTAGCTGGTGCTTCATGTACCATTGTTAATGTACGCTTGTGGTACATAAACACGACTTGTACAGCACTGCACCCGAGCCATATGTTATACCATGGTCATCATCACTGCCGCTGCTGCCTGTTGATGATGTGTTGGAACACTGCTCCGTTTGCACAATACAGGAGATCCGCGTTTCATGACAGTGTACCAAGTGCAAATTGCTTTAAAAGCTGGCATTATAACATCAACTGCACCTGGCTTCTGTTGGCTTGTTGTCAGCAGATGAGGTTGTTGTACAACTTATTCCAGTTAATACTTCAGCTCATGTACCTCTTGTAGATGATGATGATGATGATGATGATGATGATGATGATAATGATGTCATTTGGCATGTTGTCAGATGAGGTTGAAGTGCAACTTATTCCTGATAATACTTTTGTAACTGACCTACGATAATTTGCCCATGTTTATTTTTAGATCGTATACTGCTAAATTTAATCATTGCTAGAAGTGTAATGATGACAGTTGTGCTTATGTTTCAGTTTCGTCAGTACCGAACCAGGCCCGTACCTCTCCCAAGGCTTCCTCCCCGGAAGGCAGTGAGCCTCACAAGTCTTCGACGTCTCCCCAGTTGGCCACCTCACCCTATCCCCAGGCTCGACACACCCTGCCCTCTCCACCCACTATGAGACAGACCAGCCCCCACATGCCAGTCCTGGGTTCAACTCCTTGTTGGCCCAGTGGACACATTGCAGTGCCAATGAACCACACAGACCAAGAAGCACCTCTCAACCTGACCAAACCTAAGCATGAGGCCAAATTTGACCGATTGTCTGACGACCACTTGGGTGTGATTCATGGTCGGTCTATCAAGAGGGAGCCAGTTGTCACACCTCCTCCCGCTCACAGCAATCACAAAAGGCAGCATCAGCAACAACACCAGCAACAACATCAGCAGCCAACAGCGCAGACACCACCAACAACAGACATCTCGTCACTGATTGGGTTGAGATCCCCATTTGGCATCCCTGCTCAGTACATCACAAGCCCATACTTGGGCATCCCAGCACACTACCCCGGTCTCACGCTCGGAGGACATGCTCACACACTCAATGGCGCCAAGTCGCCATCCGAAAGTGAAAAAGTGAGGAAATTATAAAATAATCATTACATTGCAGTCACTACTGGAACCATTTAGCATTTTGCTGTTTGTACCAAAAATTTAAATCTAAATTTAAATCTACTAGTCCAAATATGTTCTTCCATGCCCTTTTACGTAGCAGGGACTCCTTAGTAACTGGGCTATAGAGCTAAATACTTTTTACTAGACGCAAACTTTGGGCTAACTGTCTCAAATATAACTTGTTTGCAAAGTAATTATTCAGTTATTGACAATATGGAAGTATATATCTATTGCCTGACATTGAATATCTAAGATTGAGACATATTAAAAATGTGTACATTTTCGGTCTCTTCCCAGGAGAGTTACGTACAGGAAGCATTGGCACGGCAACTAGCGGCATCAGTTAGTGGTCCAGTGTTCCCAGGTCTTCACCATGTACCGCTCTATGCAAGCACGCCATCCCCGACGATGCCGCAACTCACCCAGTTGAGTGGCGCCAAGGACACCCCCAACATGCCCATCTCCAGCGATGACAGCCAGAACTACGTTCAGCATCTACAGAGTGAGTTCTTCAACATTATCCAACATCTGGTTTTGGCATCAAAGTTCCATTCATATTATCTTGCTAACTATTTAATTTCTATGATCAAGATGTTTTATCTAACTTGTGTTTATAAATTTTAGGTAAGATGTTCGGTGCAAAGATTATCCGAGCACAGCGTGAGAAGAACGAGCCAGGGAGACCTCACGTAAAGAGGCCAATGAACGCCTTCATGGTTTGGGCTCGAGAAGAGAGACGCAAGATCCTCAAGGCCTGCCCTGATATGCACAATTCCAACATCTCCAAAATACTAGGTATGTAATAAACTGTGCAGGTTTTAACACTCACTCAGTCACTCACTCAGTGGCCAAGACACGGCATGGTAGGTAGTCACAGCCTTCCCATTTCAATTACAGAAAGTGGGGATAGGGTGGCTAACCTAGCGGTTAAAGCCTTCAGCTCATCACGCCAAAGACCAGGGTTCGATTCCCCACATGGTTACAATGTTTGAAGCCGGTTTCTTGTGTCCCCTGCAATGATATTGCTGATTTGGCATGACTCTAAACTCACTCCATTGCAGAAACATATCAACGTATTCTGTATGATGTTAAATGTGTTTCCTTGTTTCCCCCAGGAGCGAAATGGAAGGCGATGTCCAATGCAGAGAAACAGCCATATTATGAGGAACAATCTCGTCTCAGCAAACTCCACATGGAGGCTCACCCTGATTACAGATACAGGTATGATAGTTTCCACACAACTTGCATCCTATCAACATCGATATATTCAGATCTGTAAACATATTTTTGATATGTGTACAAGAATTATCTTTCTTATTAATTCAGTCAGTTACATGAGAAATGGTAACAATTAGATGCCAGTTTGTGGAATGCTGTTTTTTTAAAAAATCTTTACACAAGTATCAGTGAACTATAGCATTAATATAGCTATTTGAAAGAAACATATTTTTCATATTTGCTGAACTGTTGTTTCAGACCAAGGCCTAAACGTACATGTATTGTTGATGGAAAGAAGCTGAGAATCTCCGAATATAAAGCGTTGATGAGGAGTCGGAGGCAAGATGTTAGACGGGTGTGGTACGGAGAATCTGGAGCTACATATGTTGAGGGTTTACTATGTAAGTGCTTATAAGACGTGATATTATCAAACAATCTAAATGTCTGCTAAAATCTCTTTGTCTATCTATTGACAATGCCCAAAGTGATAATGCATGAGTGTAGTGTTTGTTTTGGAAGTCTTCCCAAATCAACACATTAGTCAGGGAGTGTTGGCTGTTTTAAATGTCACCAGTTGGGTGGTTAGTAAGTCAAAGGGAGATAACTCTACATGTAATGAAGGGTTGTAAAATCGTCACATTACCACCAGAATTCAAAATGCACACCCATAACAGGGATTGTGTAAATGTTTCTTCCAAACTGTATCTAGTCTTAGACAGAGGAGTCAGTCATATAGTCTCTAACAGATGGACTAGTGACCATCTCTAGTCTTGAACAAGGGGATATGTGCCTTATTGAACAGATGGACTCGTGGCTGATACTAGAATCGAACATTCAGTAACAGCTTCAGAATTCTGCATTCAGTATTTACAATGGTTGCTATTTCTCTTTCAGCTTCAGAAGGAACAGGGCCTTCCAATTCCAACTTCGATCCCAGCCAGTTCTTGAAATCTTCTTCTCCAGTAAACAACAGCCTAAGCAATGGTGAAGCCGGTTCCCCTGTTAACAACGGTAATTCCATACACGACGATAAACTCTCTGGCTGGGATTCGGAACATCTTCAGAACGGTGACATGAACGACATCGATGGTGGTTCCGATGTAAGCATGGACACCTCGTATACTGATGCATCGAACACCAGTTTTGGAAACAGTGCTGTTACAGAGGAGGTTGCGTCAACATAGTTCCCAAGGATTTGTAGTTTACCACAGTGCATATTTAATATAATGTAACAATGGTGCTAGATCTGTTTAGACTCCCTAGCCTGCGTTGTCCATAATGGTTGCTCCCCTCAAGCTGCTCCTGGAGATGAGAGCGGTCATCACACAGAGGAGATGTGGACCTGACCATTGTTCATCAGAGCACCTGCTTAGAAATATGAACACCTTGTTGTCCTAATTCTACAGTGTTTGGAGAGATGAAGCCAGCCCTGGACGACATCTCCAGAGTTGTGCTTGAACTGTCTCCAAAAAGCGTGTTGGTTTGACCCAGGTTCTAGCAAAGAGCACATGCTTGGCTTACCGTCGTAACAGGTGCTTGGACTAACATTATTAGAGGTCTTGCTTCACAGACTTCTGGCTTCTTGGCAGCATTGGAGAAATTTCTACAGACTTCATCGAAGCTTGAAACCAAAATTCTTCACACCTCTAGCTGCAAGTTGAGTCCATATTCCACTCCAAGTCTCCCCACATCTCACTGTGCTGATAAGGTCCCATCAGAAGGGATGACAACATCCAACGAATTCATGGTGCCATGAACTCCTGCAACACACGTCCTTGTTCCTCAGACTTATATCCCAGCAGAGTCTGTGCCCATGACAATTCCAGGACAAGCACCAGGCACCGCAATAGGAAAGATGACCAACGAAACTCACTGACCAGTTATCCACGCAGTCAGCGCCACCGTGCCACTAGCTCCCGCTTCTAGATGCCTGTATATAGACATAGTAGGCCGCACCTCGACAAGACTCTGTCTATCAGAGCACATAACTTTATACTATCCTCTCACTGTGTAGAAGTGTTCCTGTTGTGGAATCACTGTATTACTGGTACGCCATGGTTACGTGTAACATTGTATACGCTATATGACATTGTATACAGATCTGTATGCAGTACAATGACATCATATGCGATACTGCAGCGATACTGTGTAGTTTTGACATGACAGTACTGTATACAGTACTACAGGGTATGACGATACTATATGCAGTACTGTATCACGTGACAATACTGTGTTCAGTACTAATGGCATGACAGTACTGTGTTCAGTACAAAATGGTATGACAATACTGTGTAGTGTACTTGTCACATGACAATACTGTGCACAGTACTATATCACATGACAATACTGTGTACAGTACTATATCATTATCACATGACAACATGTGTACAGTACTATATCACATGACAATACTGTATACAATATTAAAAGTGTCTGTATACTGTATACAGTGCTACTGACATGACGATACTGTACAGCAGTATTATATGACAATACTGTTGGCAGTACTATATCCCATGTATACTGTATACAGTACTACTGACATGACGATACTGTACAGCAGTATTATATGACAATACTGTTGGCAGTACTATATCCCATGTATACTGTATACAGTACTATTGACCTACCAGTAAGTATGGGCCTATACCACTGTACTGAGTACTAACACTGCCTATGGTATTACAACACCATGTAAAGATGGCAACGGCCTTCTGTATGTAATTCTGGGTCCAATATAGATTGAGGCACCCCCTCTCTCAGTCCATATTGCTGTTGTCCTGTTCCTAGGTTCATGCTTAGCTCTGTTGACCTCTGCCATTCATTGTGATACACCTCGGTCCATCTGCTCCAGTGACCACTTCATACCTCAGCCATTACGGGAATTAAAAATTATTAATTAATTATTTAATAATATGTTAAACTTTTAAAAAAAAATTAGAATAAAAAAATAAGTCCTTTGTTTCCTCTCAAAAGGGTAATAACATGATTTTATTATCAAATATTTGCACATATAAAAGTGCTTTTCAGAATAAATGATTATTTAGAATTATTTGTAAAAGTCCAAGTACATTATTAAAAGAGGACAAAAATTTACCATAAGGATATATTAAATGTGTAACCTTCTTTCCCAGTTGTACTTAATAATATTTTCAACATGAGTTGTTGTGATACTTACAGTCGGTACTGGTAATACATGAACAGTACTCAGACAAGTGGTTTATCAACTCACAGTGTTTATAGTTTAGTAACAAAATAGTATTCCAGATAATTAGTCATAGTGTTTTAAAAACCAAGGCATTTTCGCTGGCATTGACATTTTTTGTTCGCAGACTTTTTGTTTTGTTTTTGCTTTGTTAGTGATAGTTGCCGAGGACACAGATTATATCTCAGGCAGATGGACCGGGTGTAATAAGGCGAGGTGCTGTTGTATTTAAGTCATAAACATCCACTACTTCACTGTTGTCAAACGCTGCTGATGTTGAGGGCAAGGTTTATTACTGTAGAATATTGAGTGCCAAATCTACCTTGTTAAGGTTCCTGATTGTTTAAAGTTTAGTTCTTCCTATCTTTGCCATATATGTGTGATGATTGTTACCTTTTGAGTAGAATTTAAACCTAGAGTCTTTCTTCAGTATAGTATGCTCTGCGAGAGATAGTTTCTCTTATGAAGTAATTTTGTTGAATCTTATGCTGTTAGGAGATGACGATTAAGCTGGGTTACCTGCCTTGGTTTCTGTTGACTTGTTTTCACATGTTGAAAGATTTATTGAGTGTGATGCCGTGTAAATTTGTTTTGAGGATGTTTGGGAGAAATCCCTTTAAGCACTGTCAATTTATTTTGAAGAAGCTGTAAATATGACTGGCATGGAACCAATCACTACTGTGGTATTCCGGAATTGACGCAATTATCGTGTGTTTCTGGAAGAAATTGATTGAATGCATAATTATGATAAAATAAACGACAAAAGTGCCAAATTTGGATTATTGTATTAATGCATTGACAGTGCACAAAATGTGTTGTGTTAGAGATAGCAGTAAGGGGAGGTAACCCTGATAGATCTGTAATGTGATAGAAACATGTACATAGGTCACAATGCACGGAACGCACTGATCACAGGGCTGTACTAATTAGATGCTAGAGATGGTCCCTGCTGTATTGTGCGAATCTCGAAAGAGGCCTGCGTTACTAGAGGCAGTTTTGTCCGTCTTCCGTCAATCGAACCTCGTGTAGTTGACACAGTAGATTCAATGTCTGTATTATGAGTATGATACAATCATGTCTTCCTCGGTGTTGAGCACTGGCCAGTGGTCGGACTCACGTGGGTGTACGTACACACTGGCGGAACTGTAATGTATTAAGTAGGTTGTCCTCACATTCATCTGTCTCAAGGCATGGACCAACATTCTATTGTCAATACTCCAATTAAATGGATAGTTGTGATTGATGACAAATTAATAGATTCATAACATAATTTAATTTTTGTTCTGTTTTTAATACTGAATCAGAACTCTTGCGAAATCTACTTCTAAAAATATTAAAAAAATATTTTTAAGAGAAATATAAATTTGTTACCAATCACTGCTACATAATGTGTAATGGGTATAATTTTGAAGCCATACCTGTAATATATGTATTTTGTTAGTGTTGAGATGTGGAATGAATATAAGTCATATTATCATAGGTTTTTAACACTTTAACTCTAAGTGAACTATATTACCCGTATGTTATCCTGAGACGAGAGTTATCGTGTTACCTACTGTGCTCGTATCATATCAGTATGTTTATATTCATTAATCGTCATAGTAACCACTAGACACTTGGTCTTGACATAGCAACTATTTATCAACATAGGACCATTATTTATGAAGACAAAATGTCAAATATCTATATGAATCATCATGTAGATTAATTAGGAATGGCTTCAGAAGACTGAAACGAGTTATTGTGACTGTGCGAGGTGACACAAGTATGTCCCTGTACGATACGGTATGTATCACACGGTATGTGGTGTGTATGTCTATAGACAACGTCGTATGTCGCCAATGCTGCTCACAATTGTATCCATGTATTTATGTTAAAGTGTTTATTGGGCATTGGTGTTTGTGCCCCTACGACTGTCCGCTGTTTGTGGGCTAAATCCTATAACATAATTGTTTATTGACGTACGAGTTTATATAACATGACTTTGTTGACGTGGGTGGGTGCATGGTGATGATCTCGTTTTATCGGATGTGTTATTTTTTCTTATGTCTATTCAACTGTACCATTAAATGTATACCTGCATGTGTTGATTTTGGTGCCTGTAGACTCTATATATTGACAAGAAAGAGCAACGACATTTACATATTTTGTACCTGCATTCGAACAAACCTGTTTCATCTGAAACGACAAACTAAAAAAGATTTTGAAGACATCAGTGTTTTCATTTCAATGTGGAAATTTGAGACTGGTGAAATTAAAACTTTGTTTTGCTCTTGTCGTAGTGACGATTCCTCTTCCCCATCATTGTGACTTAGTGGATTTCCTTCTGAAAACACATTCCTGGCTCCCTTGGTAAAATCCCCATAAAAGCTTCATTCTGTTGTCCGCGAAATTACTGCTGTCACTCCCTACATCCTTCTCCTTCTCCAGCGTTTACTGTCACACAATGCTGTCAGAATGTTAATTCCATGACTATCATTAAATATCATTTTATTTGTCACAAATTTGCTCAATTTTATTATTGGTTATTTGTCATAAACTTGTTCAGTTGGAATATTTTCTTTTTTACATTATGCTATTGCATCAAGGTGACGATTTGAGCGTTTCAAAGGGTTATGTTTACTTGTGCATTTCTTATTAATACTGTATTGTATTTGAAACCAACGACCCTGCGTAGAGTGGGAGTATAGACTAATAGTCCGGTCATTATTGTTTAGCTTTAGGCTGCTTGAACTCCACATTACATTACGAACCTCCACATGGAACCTTCAGTGCCAGATCCAAAGGGAAGGACTGTTTATCAAAGTGTCGGAAGGGAGACTGGAGTTTTGAGTTGTGTGTCCGCTTCTACCGCTATGACAGAAATGAACTCCCCCAGGGGCATTCATTATGCTAGGAGATGTAGTTGTTTTGTCTCTAAGTTATATTCTTTTTAATTTTTATCCCAGTTTTTGATATGTGCTATTGTAGAGCCTCTGTTTCATGATTTTTCTTGAACGTTTTAGTAGTGATTAAGATACCATGACATTTGGCATGTTCTGAACCACAGACCATCTGTCATCCCTCTGTTTTTAATGGTTTGATCCACTGGAACCATCCTGTTGCCCCTCTGTTTATTATGGTTAAATCCATTCAAACCACCTGTCCTCCCTCAGTTTATTATGGATCGATCCATTCAAATGACCTGACACCCCTATGTTCATAATGGTTCATCCGAAAGGAACATCACCATTTTCTTCATCATCCTTTCCTTCCGATTCAGCTCATCTCAAACACAAGTCCCTGTCAAATTTAACTGTTCATCCTATCAAATATTCATCACCCATATGTCCATAATGGAACAGTCCATCTTAGCTACCTTCCACCCCAACTTCAACATAGTTCAGTCCACTGGACAACCTGACCCATCTCTGTCACCAATGTTCCATTCTATAGCTCAGCTCAGCTCTAGGTTTAGTTCGGAAAATAGCAAAATTCTAACGTTTTCACTCACAGGTATTTTGTTTGGGTAATGGGCTGACAAAATTACTTAAACATAAATAATTCATTTTATTATGATGTATCATAATTAATAAATTGAAAGATTTTCATCCAGCTTCTATTAAATTGTAATACAATTCCTATATTTCTTAAAATTAGCAATTGATTTCTTGGACAAGTGGGTCAAGTTAAGGCAAGTGACAACTGGTTACCAGTATCAATCACATGTTGGATAAGTATCTTGTAATTCATTCTTTTACCTAATCTGAAATAATATACTGCATAATGAAAAACTGTAAAATCTTGACAGTTATGTCCGTGGAATCTCGTATGTAAAGCTAAGATCTGATTTAAAGAATGCTACATTGCTTTATAATATTATCATGAATAAGTTTTAATTTATTTATATCTTAAGCATAATAAGTGTGATTTAATCTATACAGGTTGTGTCAAGGTCATATATTTAGATATTGAACAATGCTTATAGTAAAAGGTCACCAAGATGAAAGGTCACATGCATATTCTACTTAAAATACTGCCAAATGATTTATCTCAATATCCAAAGTTTATAAGTCAGTACTCACAGGGGTAATCCTTTGATTGGGTGATCCTTTGATTGAGCCCAAGAACTATATCTGTCCCAAATAACAGAAAATTTTATTTTTATTTTGCATTTTCCTGATGACTTGTTTTCAGTTTTTATCCAAAAAGTGTTCAGCTTCAAATTGTGAGCCTTTCTTGTGTCTCCCCTGAATTGTGTATTAAATTCAATGTTCAATGGTGTACTTAATTTTTGAATGTTTAAACTTTGAGAAGCAACTATGAGTGCTACTACCTGTTCTTCCAGTGTTAGGGCAATCAACGAGATAGCCTAGCAAATACCTCGTATATCTGAAATCTCAATCCAGTTGCCAAATATATTTAATGGAACTGAATACACAGTTTTGTTCTTGTTGAAATGGAAGGTTACTGTATAAGTTGTTTCTTAAAGGGGGACTAATCTCTTGATCCTATTATCAGTTTTCTATAGGTAAAAATGCTTCAATTGTTGCAAAACCGACTTTGTCTCTATGTAGTCAGGATAAACATTATGTTTACATCAGTGTATAAATAATTGTTACTCAAACAAGTTGTAAAATAATTGTCCTTAACTTGCTGCAACTTCCCATATGTGAGCATAGTCCCCCTTTAAAATATGAAACATTACCCATGAATCTGGACATATACCTATATCTCTAAATTTGATAGTTTTACAATCAAAAAATTAAACTTGCCTTCCACTGTAGATCTAGTAATAGTGCTAGATTGGGCCACTTACAGGTAATATTTCTTGATTGTTATTTTAATACATTTTGTGAGAAAACTCTATGGAATATACCTTTTCTTTAGTATAGTATAAACTGCTGTAGTTTCATATACCAGGTATTTTTGTAATGGATAGAGTATTTTAGATTTCCATTTCACTTTTAGTGATGTTTAAATATATATTTTAGAAGTTCGTATTGGGATACATTGTAATGGCTTACTGCGTACGTAGACAGCCGCGAGCACAACGAACAAATGGTCAGAGCAATAATAATCACAACTGATGTTTTTTCTTTCTCATATCATACTTCCATAATTTATTTCAATGTCAAAATGCAGGGTATACCTGTTTTAGTCGTGATCAGTTTTATCGCAAGTGAAAAAGATAAATGATCAACATCATTTTTTATCTTTGTTAGATAAGTATTTAGATACTTACGTCATGGTGTCATGTTGATGTACATTTTTGTCAGTAGAAATCATATAAGAATAGATCTGGCAAGATGTTCCAGTGAACTTTCAAACTAAAATGATTGAGTGTTTACAGTTGAACAAAACTGCTCATCAATGTTAAATTTGTTTAAGTTTAGTTGTAATCTTAAATATATTCTATTGTTTAATTTGTCACTTCATGCCAAACTTATGTTAGAATTAACAAACCATATCTTGAATGTTACATCATATCCCACAATCCTTTGTTATCGACCAATCAACACCCTTCATATCAATCATGTGACTGATAGCCTCAACTTCACCAAGATGGCGGACTTTTGTTGCGGTCATCTCTCTATGTTAAGTATCCAATGTTGAACATGTTATGTGTGCTTAAGATTAATAACGTATAGTTGTAAGTTATAGATTTGATACGATAATTTTTGTGCAAAAATTGAATAAATCATTTTTATTATACATAATGTGTTTGTGTTGCTGTTTGTAAGTTGTCATGTTGGTTGTTAGTGTGGCAGCTACTTGAACTAAACCTGTGTATAAACTTATGATTGAGTTCAAATACCAGTCACCGTGAGTCAGTTGCCTATTTACTGGCACATCAGTCATATACACATTAAAAAACGTATCAGGGCTTTTTGTATGTATTTGTACTGTTGAAAAGGTGAAATAAAAATTGTAACACTGATTTAATCCTTTAATGATTATGTCCAACAAATGACAGCTCAAAACTGAGCGTATAATGTGTCTGAGTGGGGTATTCATGCTTCACTGCGGCGTGGTATCCCAGTGGGCTAGCACTATAAAACCAGCTTCAGTCTGGGCTAGTACAAGCAGCCGCACATACACATACACACGCATGCACGTCGTCATATTGAGCGAAATATTTTCAAGCACGACGTTAAACCCAATTTCACCTCACCTCACCTCAAAACTGAGTGTTCAATTATCCAGACTTCAGATTGTGATAGTGGTCATGACAGACTGGATAAATGAGAGTACATTTTATGTCATCAGTTGGAATGTAACCATACACATTTTTAGGAATCCAAATGCCTCAAGATAGTAGATATGATTGATACAAGTATCAGATAATAGCAATTCTCACTTGTTGCAGTATTTACAGGTGACCACAGTATTGCAGTATTCTGTTTGTTGTTTAATACCGAACTCACCAATAAACAAGCTATATGGTGGCCGACTGTAAATAATCGAGTCTGGACAAGTGATCGACAGCATGAGCATCGAACTGCGCAATTTGCATACGATGATATGTGTCAACCAAGTCAGCAAGCCTGACCATCCGATCTCCGTTAATTGCCTCTTGCGTCAAGCATGGGTTGCTGAAGACAATTCTAACCCGGATCTTCACGTCTCCAATATATCTGGGCCCAGATTTTTGAAGCTCTCTTAGAGCTAAGATTGTCGTAAGTGCCATACATTAACATTAACTTACGACTATCTTAGCACTAAGAGAGCTTCAAAAATCTAGGCCCAGTATAACAGCTATATTGCTAACCCTTACTGATTTACAGACCAAGAGGAGTGAATGAGTGGTTTGCTATTAACGCTGCATTAAACAGCATTCCATTCTGTGAATGGCATCTCTGAGTAGGAAAGCCAAAATTGATGCAGAATACTCAACACCAGTGTTTCGACCCCTTGATAAGCATATCGTGGTACAACAAAGGGATATAACTGCACCTGAGAATACTTCTTGAGTGAGTGAGGACATTGTGCCTTTGGCTGCTCTGCACCAACAAGAACACACATGATATGACTCTAGTGGATATGAATTATTGAGACTAGAATAACAGACATTACACTTATACAGGCCTTGAATACTGCTGGACAACAATTACACAACATTAGTGACCCATTCACTGGCTTTGAATCCCATGGAAAGACAAGCGTGTGATATTGGTAATCCATATACTGGCCTTGAATCCCACAGAGAGACAAGCATGTGTTATTGGTAACCCATGGCCATATACTGGCCTTGAATCCTACAAGACAAGCGTGTGATATTGGTAATCCATATACTGGCCTTGAATCCCACAGAGAGACAAGCATGTGTTATTGGTAACCCATGGCCATATACTGGCATTGAATCCTACAAGACAAGCATGTGATATTGTTGACCCATATACTGGCCTTGAGAGGAAGACAAAGCATGTGATATTGTGTACTGTATAGAGGAAGAGACTGTTCCCACAGAGAGTGTGTGTGAGAGGAAGATACTGCCTTATCCCACCTGTATACTGGTGGAGAGACAAGAGTGAAGATTATTGACCCATATACTGTGACCTTGTGTCCCACAGGAGAAAGAGACTGTTACCCTGTACTGTGTGAGAGGAAGCAAGATACTGTTACCCATATACTGTGTGTCCCACAGAGGAAGAGACTGTTACCCTGTATACTGTGTGTGAGAGGAAGAGACTGTTACCCTGTACAAGTGAGGAGGAACCTTCTCTGTTACCCTGTGTGTGAGAGGAAGAGACTGTTACCCTGTACTGGTGTGAGAGAGGAAGAGACTGTTACCCTGTACTGTGTGTGAGAGAGGAAGAGACTGTTACCCTGTACTGTGTGTGAGAGGAAGAGACTGTTACCCTGTACTGTGTGTGAGGAAGAGACTGTTACTCTGTACTGTGTGTGAGAGGAAGAGACTGTTACCCTGTACTGTGTGTGAGAGGAAGAGACTGTTACCCTGTAGTGTGTGTGAGAGGAAGAGACTGTTACCCTGTACTGTGTGTGTGAGAGGAAGAGACTGTTACCCTGTACTGTGTGTGAGAGGAAGAGACTGTTACCCTGTAGTGTGTGTGAGAGGAAGAGACTGTTACCTGTACTGTGTGTGAGAGGAAGAGACTGTTACCTGTACTGTGTGTGTGAGGAAGAGACTGTTACCCTGTAGTGTGTGTGAGAGGAAGAGACTGTTACTGTTGTGTGAGAGGAAGAGACTGTTACCCTGTACTGTGTGTGAGAGGAAGAGACTGTTACCCTGTACTGTGTGTGAGAGGAAGAGACTGTTACCCTGTACTGTGTGTGAGAGGAAGAGACTGTTACCCTGTACTGTGTGTGAGAGGAAGAGACTGTTACCCTGTACTGTGTGTGAGAGGAAGAGACTGTTACCCTGTACTGTGTGTGAGAGGAAGAGACTGTTACCCTGTACTGTGTGAGAGGAAGAGACTGTTACCCTGTACTGTGTGTGAGAGGAAGAGACTGTTACCCTGTACTGTGTGTGAGAGGAAGAGACTGTTACCCTGTACTGTGTGTGAGAGGAAGAGACTGTTACCCTGTAGTGTGTGTGAGAGGAAGAGACTGTTACCCTGTACTGTGTGTGAGAGGAAGAGACTGTTACCCTGTACTGTGTGTGAGAGGAAGAGACTGTTACCCTGTACCTGTACTGTGTGTGAGAGGAAGAGACTGTTACCCTGTACTGTGTGTGAGAGGAAGAGACTGTTACCCTGTACTGTGTGTGAGAGGAAGAGACTGTTACCCTGTAGTGTGTGTGAGGAAGAGACTGTTACCCTGTACTGTGTGTGTGAGGAAGAGACTGTTACCCTGTAGTGTGTGTGAGAGAGGAGAGACTGACTGCACCCTGTACTGTGTGTGAGAGGAAGAGACTGTTACCCTGTACTGTGTGTGAGAGAGGAGGAAGAGACTGTTACCCTGTAGTGTGTGTGAGAGAGGAAGAGACTGTTACCCTGTACTGTGTGTGAGAGGAAGAGACTGTTACCCTGTACTGTGTGTGAGAGGAAGAGACTGTTACCCTGTACTGTGTGTGAGAGAGGAAGAGACTGTTACCCTGTACTGTGTGTGAGAGGAAGAGACTGTTACCCTGTACTGTGTGTGAGAGGAAGAGACTGTTACCCTGTAGTGTGTGTGAGAGGAAGAGACTGTTACCCTGTACTGTGTGTGAGAGGAGACTGTGTGTGAGGAAGAGACTGTTACCCTGTAGTGTGTGAGAGAGGAAGAGACTGTTACCCTGTACTGTGTGTGAGAGGAAGAGACTGTTACCCTGTACTGTGTGTGAGAGGAAGAGACTGTTACCCTGTACTGTGTGTGAGAGGAAGAGACTGTTACCCTGTACTGTGTGTGTGAGAGGAAGAGACTGTTACCCTGTACTGTGTGTGAGAGGAAGAGACTGTTACCCTGTACTGTGTGTGAGAAGAAGAGACTGTTACCCTGTACTGTGTGTAGAGGATGAGAGACTGTTACCCTGTACTGTGTGTGAGAGGAAGAGACTGTTTCCCTGTACTGTGTGTGAGAGGAAGAGACTGTTTACCCTGTACTGTGTGTGTGAGAGGAAGAGACTGTTACCCTGTACTGTGTGAGAGGAAGAGACTGTTACCCTGTACTGTGTGTGAGAGGAAGAGACTGTTACCCTGTACTGTGTGTGAGAGGAAGAGACTGTTACCCTGTACTGTGTGTGAGAGGAAGAGACTGTTACCCTGTACTGTGTGAGAGGAGGAAGACTGTTACCCTGTACTGTGTGTGAAGAGAGAGGAAAGAGACTGTTACCCTGTACTGTGTGAGAGGAAAGAGACTGTTACCCTGTAGTGTGTGTGAGGAAGAGACTGTTACCCTGTGTGTGTGTGAGAGGAAGAGACTGTTACCCTGTACTGTGTGTGAGAGGAAGAGACTGTTACCCTGTACTGTGTGTGTGAGGAAGAGACTGTTACCCTGTACTGTGTGTGAGGAAGAGACTGTTACCCTGTACTGTGTGTGAGAGGAAGAGACTGTTACCCTGTAGTGTGTGTGAGAGAGGAAGAGACTGTTACCCTGTACTGTGTGTGAGAGGAAGAGACTGTTACCCTGTACTGTGTGTGTGTGAGAGGAAGAGACTGTTACCCTGTACTGTGTGTGTGAGAGGAAGAGACTGTTACCCTGTACTGTGTGTGTGAGAGGAAGAGACTGTTACCCTGTACTGTGTGTGTGTGAGGAAGAGACTGTTACCCTGTACTGTGTGTGACTGTGAGAGGAAGAGACTGTTACCCTGTACTGTGTGTGAGAGGAAGAGACTGTTACCCTGTACTGTGTGTGAGAGGAAGAGACTGTTACCCTGTACTGTGTGTGAGAGGAAGAGACTGTTACCCTGTACTGTGTGTGAGTGAGGAAGAGACTGTTACCCTGTACTGTGTGTGAGAGGAAGAGACTGTTACCCTGTACTGTGTGTGAGAGAGGAAGAGACTGTTACCCTGTACTGTTACCCTGTGTGTGAGGAAGAGACTGTTACCCCTGTACTGTGTGTGAGAGGAAGAGACTGTTACCCTGTACTGTGTGTGTGAGGAAGAGACTGTTACCCTGTACTGTGTGTGTGAGAGGAAGAGACTGTTACCCTGTACTGTGTGTGAGAGGAAGAGACTGTTACCCTGTGTGTGTGTGTGAGGAGGAAGAGACTGTTACCCTGTACTGTGTGTGTGAGAGGAAAGAGACTGTTACCCTGTAGTGTGTGTGAGGAA